AAAACAGGCATCTGTAAGTGCCTCCTGACCACCCACCTACAAAGATATGGTGGCTGATCAGGACCATACACATTGCGATGCTTTATGGTGTGGCTCAGCAGTGCCGCCTTTCAAACCTGCCCGTTGAAGTCAACGGGGCTGCGCCGCAACTGAACGTCAAACACTTGGCATGTGCTTGTGGCATGTTTTATCTATGTAAGATATCTCTTGGGAGGAAAAAAAAAAAGGAGAGGCAGAAATCACATCTCGAATGCCTGCAAACCACTGCTCCGCTGTGTTAGATGACTACTGTCAACGCTCTCTGTCCAGTCCCGCCCAGCTCCCTGATGTCAGTGGCTGCCAGGAGCTTGGTGGGAGGCCAGTACCCTTGCAACCAATGACATCAGTGAGCTGGGCGGGACCGGACAGAGCGTCCCAGGTTGCTCTGAGCTCATATCTGTGTCTGTCAAAGTCTTGCAATGCCTCATGGAACTTGTAGTGTCACAACAGCTGAAGGGCCGGAGTTGCCCTCCCCTGTTCTAACATTTGCTGATTGAATGTCAGAAGACTGCCCATACACTAATATTTTCTTGTTCAACCCATGGGCTGAATGAAGAAAATATAACAACAAATTCCTCTTATCAACACTTACAGGTGTTGATTGAGGGATCTCCTGCTGTCTTCATTGTAATATAATGGCGGACGTCAGCCGATGTCAAACAAAAATAGGGGGGTCTTTCTTGGGGGGGTAATTTTGGAATTCCTTATCCTATTTTGCATATGTTGGTTTATTGACAGATGGAATTGTGGACCTAAGGCATCTGCCCTCCTTCCACTATAACCCCCTCCCCATTACGGTCTTTGTGGCTTTGGCTTCCATCTACCACCACCTGGGGGGTGTCGTTTTTTTCCGCTCTGGCTGTCACTTTGTGCCTGCATCCTTTGGCTCCGCATTGGGCCGGCAGGCATTTATTGATAATGGTATATCTAGCTATTAAGAATATGAATTTTGTATGAGGACATACAATTTACGTTATCTTTCTATGATGTAATTAGATTTCCTCCTCTTCCTGATGAAGCGATAGATGCGCGAAACTGAAAATCATCCACTCTACTGTTTCCAGATAAGGCCATTCATTTACATGCACTTGGATTGGTTTATACCATCATTTATTCATTTTTTATATTGGTCTATGTATTACTATGAATCATGCAATTGTTAAATCATTGATATGCTATCATACTATCAACTTGCTATCAAATGCTATCATGCTATCAACATTGATATCATATGCTTTTTACCAATCATTCTAATCATGGAAGAGGAAATCCCCTATAACTGATAATCAGTATTGATCCCTATCATGTACATACTGTATACACGTCTCAACTACATACCACTAACAGTGCCTACACCCATGTGCCCATGTCATAAAACAGAGAAAGTAGTGACATACCACGCGTTCCACTCGCCAACGCTGAGCACCAGGCAGTGCGGTTCTGATCTTGGGGTGTTGTAGTGGTTCAGTGCATGCTGATGTTCTGAATATCTGCCACATCCCTAAAGGACCAACATGATGAAAAGTCTGGTTAGTAGTCACTGGGGATCACAAACTCATAAAAGCAGCAGCCCATGCAGGAGTACAGTGCAGAGAGCATACATCAGGACTGAGAACAGAGAAGGCATCAGGGATCCCTCTACACTGCACTCTCCACAATGGTCTATGTGGAGTTACATGCATTCCATGGGGAAGGGCAGGGCTTATCTATAGTCACTCATCAGCTGATGTTAGCAGTCTGTGGTCTCCACTCATTATATTAGTGTACTAGTAGTACTACAACACAAAAATCTCCATTTGTGGAAACTAAAATCTTCTAATCAAAAGAGTATGTGAAGCAGACACCATCCTTGTTCTCAGTCCTTGTCTGCAGGTGCAGTGCAGGCCATCCAATTTTAAATAATGTCTCCCTCAGCCCTATAATGGCAGCTCTCAAAGCCCAGAGGAGGAAATGAGGTAAGAGGTTATGTCTGGAAAAGTGGCTCGGTATCCCAAGATATAATAAAAGAGTTAAATGTAAGAACACGCAGAAGAAGCACCGTTCCTCTATGGCTCAGGAAAGGAATGAGCCGGGAGCTTGCTGCTGGTAGCACGCCCTCGCTCCAGTATGAACCCATACGAGCAAACGAAAAGCTGTCCGCACACAGGATTCCACTGGGACAGTTTATTGAAGCTTGCACCACATCAATGGTGTCCCGGCCAAGGTCCGCCCCTCTGATGTGTTTCACCCAATCATGGGCTTAGTTGTAGGCAACTCTCTCTCTAAGTCTCTACGACTATTGCCTGTGATTGAGTGAAAGACATCAGCGGGGGTGGACCTTGGCCAGGACACCAGTGATGTGGTACAAGCTTCAATAAAACATCTCAGCAGAATCTGGTGTGTGGCCGGCTATTCTTCTGTTTTAAAGAGCTAATGGGTTTGAAGTTACAATTTAAAGGGAAAACAAAATCCTTTCATACAGGCAATGGCATAACTCCGGGGATGAGAGTACACACGCCTTGTGGATCTCATGCTGTGCCAGTAGCTGTCAGACTTACAGGTGAGCCATTATACCATTTCCAATGTGGGCAGCCAGTCAAATATAATGCTGACCCAGCAAAGTCCCTGTGCAAAAATCATTCCTGAAAATCAGATCCTACACACTGCCAGTCACCCTCGCTGCCCGCATGTGAACGTAACCGGGCCTGGTGGATGGTTAGTAAAGCTGGCCACACGCATTAAGATTTCTCTTGTTCATCCCCGAGTGCTGAAGGAGAGAAGTCTTTAGATTCCCCGATCCATTCTAAACAGTGACTATTGTATTCTGACTATTGTATTCTGACAGGCGGAACTTGCGGCTCCCAGAGTATGCAAACAGTGACTGCATCTGCGGCTGGAGTGCCTGTTCAGCCGACAATTTTCCACCCAGCTCCTTCATAGTTACATAATTAGGGTGCAAGAAAGACACAAATCTATTTCAACCATTAGAGGAATTAAAGGAGAACTATGAGGTGACTAATTTCCACTCATCCTCATAGCTAGAACTGACGTGTGACAATGAAGCTGTCACAGGTCGGCTCTATAGATCGCGAAGTGAGTGAATACTGTCGCTCGCCCACTTTCCGATCATCTCCCTCCAGTGAGCGAACACTATCAGTCACCGCTCCCCACCTCTCCGATCCTCCATCGCTGAGTGGAGGAACAGACAGGGGAGCTGGCTCTGCCTCTAGATAGGTAGAGCCCGCTGTCAATGAGCCAGTTGGGTGGATCTCGACTGTATTGTGGGGATCCCTCCCGGCTGCGGCGCTCTCACTATATAGCGGGCAATAAAAGTCAATTGAAAAATCAACTTCTGACCGGCCGGGTGGTGCCGACAGGGCAACCGATGGACAGGTTTCTGACAAGTTGGCATTAAACAGCCGAAATCATTGTGTGTATGGCCTGCTGAAAGGGTAAGTCCAATTCTGAGTCGAAACACTTCTCACCAGTCAGTGTGGCCATATGACCATGCTCACCAATCAGTGCTCGTCATTTGCGGGCATTATGCCTAATAGGGGGGCAGGAAGTGGTGGCTGCCTGGAGGGGGTGAGTTCATTTTCTCACATTTTGTGAAAAAGTGGACTTACCCTTTAAAGGCAAGGGTGGGCAAACTCCAGCCCTCCAGCTGCACTGCAACTACAAGTCCTATGAGGCATTGCAAAACTCTGGACTCCCAGAGACCGATGCATGATGGGATTTGTGGTTTCTGGAGGGCTGGAGTGTGCCCACCCCTGCTTTAAGGCAATGAACACTTTATTTTGGTAGAGCCGGGGGAGAGTCTTCAAACCTAGAAGCACTAGAATTATAAATGGAGGGCCCTACTACTAAAAGAAGGAACATTACAGGCAGTCCCCGGGTTATGAGCAAGATAGGTTCTGTAGGTTTGTTCTTAAGTTGAATTTGTATGTAAGTTGGAACATGTACATTTTTTAAGTGTAACTCAGCCCAAAACATTTTTTTAGTTTTGGATAGCATAGGGAAGGGTTTACACCCCTGTAACGTTTGTTTTGCTGGGTGTGTACCTCTGATTTCACATAATTTTCTGTCCCTGTGAGATTTGGATTCTAAAAATGTTGGGTTGTTGTGGAAACAAGGAGTGGTGATAAGGCTTCAGTGGAGACACCCTTTTCCCATGATAACTCTTACAGGAGTGAATTTCCCTTCCTAGGGGTAGATTTTCTCTCACTTCCTATCTCAAGGACAGGAAGTGAGATTACATTTTTCTAATGAGGATACAAACAGCAGTAAAAACCTCACAGTGACCCGGAAGAAGAGGCGGGCACCCCTTGCCTGCACGTCTAACAAGAGCCAACTTCCTGTAATGTACGTACAGGACTACGAACCAGAAACAAAAGGCGGGCGCTCAACGAGCGCGGTAGCATTACAACTACTGAAACGCTGCGCGGTACACGTTGGCTGCAGCCTGGGACCCCCTGCTGTACAGTAATAGCCCCCGTTTGTAAGTAGGGGTCGTATGTAAGTCGGATGCTTGTAACTCGGGGACGGCCCGTACAGTGTTCCTGGAATACAATGAGGGGGTCGGGGGACTTATTTTGTTGGGAGACAATTTTACAGTGAAAGGATGAGAGTCTTACCCTATGTCCACATTTCATACACAGCCAGATCATTTGTGCTTCCGTTTGCTCCTCTTCCTCATTATTGGTCTTCTCCTTGGCCTCTGACTGGCAGTCCTGGCAGAGTGTCCAGTCCACATTCACCAGAGCCCTCTTCACTGCGCCATCATCCAGGCCCTTCCGGATGTGCTTACATGTCGGCTCTGATCAACAAAAAGCAATCAGTGATCACATAGTGGAGGCAGACGGGCTCAGCCTGATACACTGCTTCCTCAATTCTAGCCCGAGGCAGCCCACATGATGAACAGAAACAACCAAAAACACTTGGCTGGGAAGCCAGCTCCATGCTCCCTCGTCACTTGAGACGAGGGAGCATGGAGCTGGCTTCCTAGCCAATCAGGAAGCCGGGCAGCGTTTAATGACTCGCTGCCCGGCTTTCTGATTTGTCGAGAAGCTGGCCAGCCAGGAAGCCGGGCGCCGTGTAATGACACGGCACCTGGCTTTCTGATTGGCCGGGAAGCCGGCTTCATGCTCCCTCGTCACCTCATGACGAGGGAGCATGGAGCCGGCTTCCCAGCCAATCAGGAAGCCGGCCACAGCCTCATTACACGGCGGCCGGCTTCCTGATTGGCCAGAAAGCTGGCTCCATGCTTTCTCGTCACATAGTGACAGGAAGCATGGGGACGGCTTCCCTGCTAACCAGGAAGCCGGGTGGCGAGTCATTACACACCGCCTGGCTTCCTGAACGGAACTTCTGGTATCGGTATTCAGTATCGGTGAGAGCCGGGAAAAAAATATCGGTACTCGTACTCGATACCGAAATACTGGTATCAGTGCATCCCTAGTATTTAAGTAGCGCCGACAGTTTACACAGCACTTTACATAGTTGCACATTGACATCAGTCCCAGCCCTCAAGGAGCTTACAATCTAAGGTTCCTATCCTATTGCATACAAGGCCAATTTAGACAGCCACCTCCCAGCATGTCTTTGGAGAGTGGGAAGAAACCGGAGTACCCGGGGGAAACACACGTAAGCACAGGGAGAGCATGCAAACTCCATGCAGCTAGTATCCTTTGAACCGGAGATCCCCAGTGCTGCAAGGCCGAAGCTAACCACTAGGCCATCGTGCTGCCCCAAATATCAGACTTCCTGTTTACACTCATTCCTCCACTGTACCTATGGACTTCAAATATGTCCGCCCTTGTTCCTCTCCATTACATGGCGGGTTGATGGGGCTAGTAGTCTCTACAATAAAGATGAGGATGTTTATACTTTCTGTTCCGCTCTCAGGAAGTGACAAGGTCACGGCATTTCTGGCAAGACCTACAGGCATTATTCTGTACTTGCTGAAAAATGAAAATGAATGCAGCCGCCACATCTAAGGACTGGAAAGCTGTAATAAGTTACATTTGTGTTTTAGGTTTAGATAAGCTTCAAAGCTGAACTCCGGGATAAGTAACTACTGTCTGGATACAAGAGTCATGTGTATTCTTCCTGGGATCCTGGTGAGCTTTGTGTATTTTCTGTGCATGATCTGTGCAGTAATCCAGTGTGCAACTTGCAGCTTACTGTAATAAAGACCGGTCACTGCTGCTCTCTCTCCTTGTGACTGGTCTGGTCTCTGGTCCCTTCTGTAACAAAGACCAGTCACTGCTGCTCTCTCTCCTTGTGACTGGTCTCGTCTCCGCCCCCTCCTGTAACAAAGACCCGTCACTGCTACTCTCTCTCCTACTGACTGGTCTCGTAGACTTCCTGTTTACACTCATTCCTCCACTGTACCTATGGACTTCAAATATGTCCGCCCTTGTTCCTCTCCATTACATGGCGGGTTGATGGGGCTAGTAGTCTCTACAATAAAGATGAGGATGTTTATACTTTCTGTTCCGCTCTCAGGAAGTGACAAGGTCACGGCATTTCTGGCAAGACCTACAGGCATTATTCTGTACTTGCTGAAAAATGAAAATGAATGCAGCCGCCACATCTAAGGACTGGAAAGCTGTAATAAGTTACATTTGTGTTTTAGGTTTAGATAAGCTTCAAAGCTGAACTCCGGGATAAGTAACTACTGTCTGGATACAAGAGTCATGTGTATTCTTCCTGGGATCCTGGTGAGCTTTGTGTATTTTCTGTGCATGATCTGTGCAGTAATCCAGTGTGCAACTTGCAGCTTACTGTAATAAAGACCGGTCACTGCTGCTCTCTCTCCTTGTGACTGGTCTGGTCTCTGGTCCCTTCTGTAACAAAGACCAGTCACTGCTGCTCTCTCTCCTTGTGACTGGTCTGGTCTCTGCCCTCTTCTGTAACAAAGACCAGTCACTGCTGCTCTCTCTCCTTGTGACTGGTCTCGTCTCCGCCCCCTCCTGTAACAAAGACCCGTCACTGCTACTCTCCCTCCTACTGACTGGTCTCGTCTCCGCCCCCTTCTGTAACAAAGACCAGTCACTGCTGCTCTCTCTCCTTGTGACTGGTCTGGTCTCTGCCCTCTTCTGTAACAAAGACCAGTCACTGCTGCTCTCTCTCCTTGTGACTGGTCTGGTCTCTGCCCCCTTCTGTAACAAAGACCGGTCACTGCTGCTCTCTCTCCTTGTGACTGGTCTCATCTCCGCCCCCTTCTGTAACAAAGACCAGTCACTGCTGCTCTCTCTCTCTTCTTGTGACTGGTCTTGTCTACGCCCCCCTTCTGTAATAAAGACCAGTCACTGCTGCTCTCTCTCCTTGTGACTGGGCTGGTCTCCGGCCCCTCTTGTAGTGGGTGAAGCCTCATGGGTCCCTATTTCTACAAGGTAATAACTTGGTTTGCAGGAAAATTTGGTGCACACAAAGTGGATTTATATCCTTTGTGGCAATTTAGGAATATATTTCAATGAAAATTCTTGTCCCTGGAGTTCGGCTTAAAGTCACCTTCAAAATTTACAAGAATACGTTGTACCTGTATCCACCGGCTCAGGTGCTGGAAGGTTCCGTCCTTTCTTCTTTACCATGATACTGTTTTAATACTTCCTACAAACATAAAACAATAAAGAAATCCCTCAGTTTATTTTTCAGACCATTTTTGGTACAGGCCAGTACAGACCAGGCCGAATGTGGATTTGGGCAGACTGGTCCATACATCATTGATCTGATTATTTCCAGAAACTATATAGATCAGGCGGAGACAAACCTTGGTCCTCCATCTATGGAAAAACTGCAAGTCCCATCATGCCTCTGCGAGTCTTGCCAGCGGCTGTCAGAGTCTTGCAATGCCTCATGGGACTTGCAGTTTCTTAACAGCTGGGGGTGCTGAGGTTGCCCTCCCTGATACAGACTCTCCAACACAACACGTGTAGTCTATTTGGAGACTGTTGGGACGGCAGGGTTGGGGTTACATTTACAGAACAGAAGAACTCTAACACTTTCTCCAAGAAACAATCAGAGAATATTTTACGGTGTGCTTCGGAAAGTGATGTCAGCTGAATCAGATTAAAGTGTATCTCTAGGCAAAGCTTTGACTAGGGTATGGGATGGTTAGAACCTATTGGTGAGGTTTCACTTCCTGTCCCATAGACATAACAGAACACAAATATGTTGTACGCACCTAAATACACCCGTGTGCATGAGCCACAACACCACTGCACTAGAAGCCCAACTCCGGCCAAGACATATCTCTGCCGGAGAAGGCCAGAGTGAAATCCACGTATCCCCATAGTTAGAGCCGACGTGTGACACTGAAGCTGTCACCGGTCGGCTCTATTGATTGAGAACTGAGCAATCACATACCGCTGATCACTCAGTTCCCGATGCTCTCCCTGCAGAGAGCAGTGCCTGTCCGTCATCACCCCCCCGCACCCGCAGGGACTCCCCTCTCCGATCCTCCAGAGCTCATTGGAGGGACAGACAAGGGAGGGGGCGGGCACAGCTGGCTCTGGCTCTTGAGAAGCAGAGCCAGCTGTCAATCAGGTAGTGGGGTTGATCTCAACAATATTGTCATTGTCTGTCCTGGTTGCAGCACTGTCAGCATATAGCAGACAATAGCCCTCTATATGCTGAGTTTAGGCAGAGGAGTGAATGGAAGGTGCTGACATTAAACTGACCCTGTTACCACATGCACAGACAGCCTTTCTAGTAGCCCGTGTATTGATAAGCCACCGTATCTCCGCTCCCCACCAAGCCCAGCCTCATTACAAGTGCCTTGTTCAAAAAACAATTTTCCATCCTGCTCCTCCTGGAAATAGATCAAGACGAAGATGGAGGCACTGACATTGCAAAGCGATCCATGGCAGGCAAGTCTGCCATAATATGCTAATATGCTGTACATACTAGTGCATTATGTCTAAAAGATCCCAGGGGCATTTGTTTTTTTCTCTTTACTTTCGCTTTACTGTGTGTTAGCACAGCCACTTGTAGTCTGCTTCACAATCCAAGTGACAGGGGTGACAACAAAAGAGCACAATTAGGAGATAGGGACAGAGCATTGTCACTTGATGACAGGAAGTGCCTGAACAAGGATCACCACATATAATGAAAATATGAAAGCTCCAGATTTACAAATATTGAAAATACATTTAAATGTAACAGATCACATTTAATTTTCAGCTATTGGGTGTGTGTGTGTATATATATATATA